GGGTTGAGATAAACTGTTTTTATTTTTTAACACATCGTCACAAGGAAAATTGAGCTGATTTGCCTCTTCTTTTAAAGGACATTTACAGTATGTAAAGGCTGTCGCTCTAACTAGTAATCTGTGGGCAGTGGTTTTCTCTTTCCTGAACGCTGTTTGATGAGACACGATGGTGTTTCCCCACCTCCATTACTGTGACAAATGCTGATGTAAACAACCTTTGTCTGCTCCTCTGAAAGGCCAAGTGAATCTCTTCATTAGTTCTATCAATCTGTTGATTTCAAATGTGGAGACTTTTAGCCTGGGTAGCCAAAACCTCCTAGAACTGCTCACAAGGGAACACTGAACTAGCCAGAGCTGGATTTTGTAGCATATATACTGTATATACGTATATGTCGACCTCGTATACAAGTCAAGGGCAGGATTTGGGGACCAAATTATGAATTTTTATATGACCCATGGATAAGTCAATGATAATTCCACAGAGTGGAGCAAACACCTCTGAACGCCACTGCCATTTCATTCAAAATGACCAGAAGGAGCAAAGATTTTTTTTTATGTCAGGAGTGACTTGAGAAACTGCAAGTCGCTTCTGATGTGAGAGAATTGACTGTCTGCAAGGACGTTTGCCCAGGGGACCCCTGGATGTTTTGATGTTTTACCATCCTTGTGGGAAGCTTCTCTCATGTCCCCGCATAGGGAGCTGGAACCTGACAGAGGGAGTTCATCCGCGCTCTCCCCAAATTTGAGCCTCCGACCTCTCGGTCTTCAGTCCTGCCGGCACAAGGGTTTAACCCAGTGGTTCTCAACCTGGGGTCCCCAGATGTTTTTGGCCTACAACTCCCAGAAACCCCATCCACTTTTCCAGCTGATAGGGATTCTGGGAGTTGAAGGCCAAAAACATCTGGGAACCCCAGGTTGAGAACCACTGGTTTAACCCATTGCGCTACCGGGGGCTCAGCAGCAAAGTGGGTAGGGAGTCATGTTTCTTTAAAGTTTTCTCAGGAGGAACTAAGACGCCTTCTACACTGCCATATAATCCAGAGTATTATAATCCAGAGTATTTCTTATTATGTGCTTCTTTCTTTTTGTTTCCCACTTTCCTATTTGGAATTTGTTCCTACACTTTCGATATGATTTTCTTTCTTTTTATAGTTAAAGATATAACAAAAAAAATTAAATAGAAAAAAAAGTAAGAAGGAAGACAACAAACACTTTTTATTCCTATTTTTATTTTTACTTTCATGTTTATTTTTTCTTCTCTCACTTTTTTCTTTCTCCTTTCCTACTTTTCTATAAATGAAAATGTTCTCCCACTTTCAATGTAAACGAAATCACTTTCTCAAACTTTATTTACTTTCAACAAAACTTTAATAACATTACAAAAAAGCAGATAGATAATCCATATTATCTGCTTTGAACTAGATTATCTGAGTCTACACTGTCATATAATCCAGTTCAAAACAGATAATCTGGATTTTATATGGCAGTGTAGAAGGAGCCACTCTACTCAGAGAAGGGAATTGTTCCTTTCTCGAACACTACTTACAATGAGCCGTGACAGTCAACTCAGGTTTGACTTAAATTTATAGACTTATAGTGACTGGACTGACCTTGAAGGAGCTGAGGGTGGTGATGGCCAACATGGAGCTCTGGCGTGGGCTGGTCCATGAGGTCACGAAGAGTCGGAGACGACTAAACGAATGAACAACAATACATGAGTATGTATGGTAGATATCTTTCTGTATTTCACAAATGAAAACTTGGGCATGTGTAGCCAAGCAGCATCAGAATGTGGTCAAAACTACAGAAGTTCCCATTAAGGAAAACCACACAGGTCATGAGACGCTGCAGCCATTTGTTTTTGCCTGAGCCTACTGGGAAGGGCAAGATTCCAATCTTCCCATCAACACCCAACTCTCATGAGGTTGAGTTCAAACTCCTTTTGTACTTTGAACACAGTTTGCAAGAACTGAAGCAACTCAAGAATAATAATAAAGAGGGAAATTGGGGGGAAGAGAGAGAAACTGGGGCAAGATAAAGGTGGTTAACAGGGACTGTCCCTGCCAGATTGGGACAGTTGAATTGTATGCATATCGTTCAGGGGGAGAAAGAAGTATATACTTCATTGACCTAAATCAGGGGTATGCAAAATATGCCCATCAAGTTCTTTGGATTGAAAGTTTCCGCAACTGTAGCCACCTTACATTTTAACAGTGAGGAATGATAAAATTTGCAATCCAGCAACTTCTGGAGTGCTGCATATTTCCCACTTCTGCCTATGGAAATGGTTCTCGTGGCTCCCCAAGTGTTTTGACCTACAACTCCCAGAAACCCCAGCCAATTTACCAGCTGTTAAAATTTCTGGGAGTTGAAGGCCAGAGTTCAGTAAGAAGAAGAAAGCTGACCTCATGGTGTTATTTGCAATTATAACATTTTATACTGCTAATAAATTTCTAATAAAGCATCCCCCAGTGGTGCAGCAGGTTAAACCACTGATCTGCTGAACTTGCTGACCAAAAGGTTGACAGTTCAAATCTTGGGAGCAGGACGAGCTCCCGCTATTAGCCCCAGCTTCTACCAACCTAGTAGTTCGAAGACATGCAAATGTGAATAGATCAATAGGTACCACTCCAGCAGGAAGGTAACAGTGCTTCATGCAGTCAGGCTGGCCACATGACCTTGGAGGCATCTATGGACAACACAGGCTCTTTGGCTTAGACATGGAGATGAGCACCACCTCCCAGAGTTGGACACAACTAGACTTAATGTCAAGGGGAAACCTTTACCTTTACCTTTACCTAATAAAGTTCTTGAGACAAGCTGGAGAACATTATAGGGTGTTTGTTTGTTTTTTAAAAAACTCTCTTTATTTAACAATACTTTGTTTCAAACAATAAAACAATGCATACATCCAGTTTTAGGGGGAAAATACAATTTATGGCACATTGAGGATTTGTCAGTTTTTTATTTAAAAACCTATTTTATTTTTTATGTTCATTGTGAATAATGAGAAATGATGAAATAATCCAAGGCAGGCATCAAGGTAGTTAACACCAGTATACTGAGCTAGCAGTCAGAATGACCCGATTTGTTAGGAAACTGAAGTCATTATTCTGACTGTTCATAAATACTGAGTATAGTCAGTAGTCTACCAACCTTCTACCCATTGCACAACACTTTGGGCACCTTTTGCTAGTGATTATAGATGTGGTTAGGGTCTATTCCAGGGGTCCTCAAACTTTTTAAACAGAGGGCCAGGCCACAGTCCCTCAAACTGTTGGAAGGCTGGATTACAATTTGGGGAAAAAAGCATGAATGAATTCCTATGCACACTGCACATATCTTATTTGTAGTGCAAAAGACACTTAAAAACCATACAATAATTAAAATGATGAACAATTTTAACAAATTTAAACGTATTAGTATTTCATTGGGAAGTGTGGGCCTACTTTTGGCTGATGAGATAGGATTGTTGTTATTATTGTGTGCTTTGAAGTCGTTTCAGTCTTAGGTTGACCCTGAGTGAGGGCCAGGTAAATTACCTTAGAGGGCCGCATTCGGCCCACAGGCCTAGTTTGAGGACCCCTCGTCTATTCTGTCATTCAGGAAGCAGCTCACTGCCTTTCCCTCTTTTCCCCCCTTGCAAAAGTGATCTCTAGCATAAGGGGTCATTGCCACACACAATTGTTTCTGGATTTTATATGACAGTGTAGAAGGGGCCTATGATAGCAAAAAGTTTCTAGTTAATGTAGAATATTTATACGAACTGCCTTCTTGGGAGGAGAAAATGGAGATTATATCCTGATACATTATGCATCTTTAAGATGTGTAAATTCAGGAGCCTAGTGCCACTTGTCTAACTCTTTATATATACAATTTGTCCCAGATTAGAAATTCAAGTACAACATCTGTATCAGTGGTGAGCAAAGTACAGCCCTCGAGATGTTGTTGACTGTTATACCCAGTATCCCTTGGTATGGACCATTGTCCAGGGCTGTGGAGAGCTCCAATCCAACATATGGAAAGCTACACTTTGTCCATTCAATAGAACTTATAATTCCATGTATTCCTTTACTTTGAATAATAAAACAATAACAGAAAAATGCTTGTGGTCACAAGTTAGCGCAGGGTTACTTAAGTGCACTTAATTCTGTTCTTGATTAGAGCCATTTCTGTCAATATCATGTATATCTTTTTGGCAATTTACAATAGAATCAATAAACCCAGTTTAAATTAGTCCAAACTATTTTCTGAGGCCCTATCTACACTGCCATTATAATGCAGCCGGGCCCACAAGGCGGCCCCAGGGTAAAAAAGTTTGCCCATGCCTGGTCTACACTGACCTTATAATGCGTCCAATCTGCATTATAATGGCAGTGTAGGTGGGGCCTTCGTTCTCAGGTTAAATTGCTTTAACTTGAAAGAAGTTCATAAATCTTTACATAGAGCTTCACTTAGGTTGGTGGTTCTCAAGGTGTTTTGGCCTACAACTCCCAGAAATCCCAGCCAGTTTACCAGCTGTTAGGATTTCTGGAAGTTGACGGGCAAAACATCTGGGTACCCACAGGTTGAGAACCACTGACTTAGATCTTTTGCACAACTTATGGAAGATGTGTCTTTGGTTACATTTTTGAAGGTGCCTGTTCAATCCCATGTTTGTGTACTCAGAATCTATAAAGGTCTATAGGAGAGACAATTGCTTACTAATTTTAAATTGAGATAAATGCTATAGAATGGTGTAAACAATACTATAAAATCATAAAATCCTAGAGTTATCTTGAAGGATAGAGCCTAGGTGAGCTTGCACACTTTTTCTTGCTAGTTCTTGTTGTGAGGCTGGAAGTTTTGAGTTAACCACAGATTATTTTGCATTCAAACCCTAAACTGTGGTTATTCTTAACTATGGTTTGTTTGACATAGGACCAACTTCATAATCCATATTATAGAATCATTGAATCCTAGAGTCAGAAGAGACCTTGTGGGCCAGCCAGTCCAAGACTGTACATTGCAACATTCATTGAATTCTACAAAAAACATTAAAATAGCATTGTTATAAAAATTTCAAAATAATAAAACTTCAATGCATTATATGTATTTTGGGAGAGCCACAAAATTCAGCAAGCTAGCAATTTGTCTAGCAATTTGCACCCTGAGATTTTTCATCAAATAAACAACTAGGAAATCTGAAACTAGCTCTACAAGACACAGTCTACAACTTGAGACATGTAAACATTTCAGCAATTTTGTCAGTTTTTACACAATCTCTTGACCAGTGGCATTTGCAATCCAGGATTCCCCAAAAATAAAAGGCCAGGGAGACCCATATCTGTTGTAGAATATTTTTCAGCTTTTCTGTGTCAACTCCTCGAAGATTGTTGTCTTTTGCTTCCTAGGGAAAATTCAACTGCTGACATACATCCTTTAGTTGTGATCAAAAGACTCTTGTAACATGTCTATATTCTCCTTGGCACTACAAGTACAGTGTCCATCATGTGCTTATTCCTGAACAGCTGAATGGTGGATAGATCGGTGATAATCTTCTGGAGGAGGGACTTGCTCTGAGATATCATAGCCTCTTAGGACAGGTCCAGTGTTTTGCTGTGCAAAGTAGTATAGATGCCTTGCAAACATTGGCTCAACCTTAACAACAGAAGGAAAGCTTAGTTAGACATTTGTCAAGATTTTCCAATTCATTCATAGAAAATGTTATAAACAGGGTGACATCAGTTACCCAAACAGAGAATAATAGAAACATTTTCCTTTTCAAAGGAATTTGCTGAGAGTGTTCAAACTGAGTAGCACATTCTCCTTCCAAGTATCAGTCTGGAACCAGTCCATTGAAGGCTAAAGGACTTACTTCTGAGTAAAATACACTGGATTTCTTAGAACATTTATATTTAAATTACTGTAAATAGTATAAGCCATCTTGAATATAAGCCGAGGCACCTAATTTTCCCACAACAAACTGGGGAAACGTATTGACTTGAATATAAGCCGGGGGTGGGAAATGCAGCAGCTACTGGTAAATTTCAAAATAAAAACAGATACCAATAAAATTACATTACTTGAGGCATCAGTAGGTTAAATACTACAAAATGTTTTTGAATATTTACATAAAACTGTAATGTAAGATAATACTAACTCTGATTAAACCATTAGGAAGAAGGTAAAATCATGGTTGTGGGACCAGGCTTTTGGTCAGCAGACATAAGGCAGCACTTTGGTTGAAATGGACTGGAAAGACGATTTACATGAAGATATGGTTTTATTGGTAATTAAGATTTTATACTGTTTAATTAATGGCTTATGTATTTTATGTATTTTAATGGTTTGATGGTTTTGTTTCATTGTTATTGTATTAGTTGTTCATGTAACGGCATCGAATTGCTGCCTATGTAAGCCGTCCTGAGTCCCCCTTTTGGGGTAGAGAAGAGAGGGGATATAAATACCAGAAATAATAATAAATAATTATTATAACTTCCTTTAATGTAAATGTGCTGATGTATCTTTCCAACGATAATACAGAGTAAAATAATAAATGTAATAAAAATAATAATAGAGTAAAAATGGAAATGCAATAATAATAGAATAAAATAATGAATGCAACAACAATAATAAAGAAAAATAATAAATGTTACAATAATAGAGTAAAATAATACATGTAATAATAACAATAGAGTAAAATGATAAATATAATAATAATAATAATAGAATAAAATAATAAATAACTTTGACAAGAGTATAAGCTAAAGGGTTTTTTTCAGCCTAAAAAAAGGGCTGAAAAATTTGGCTTATACTTGAGTATTTGCGGTAAATAAATTAAATATTTGGCCTGTGTGATCAAAGAAAACAATGTTTCAATTTCATTTCTACATTGGGGGGGGGGGTTGAATATTTTCTAAAGTGTTTCTAAAATATCACAAGGAGTCTATATCGTAACTATAAAAATATAACATTTCTTTTCATTACTTTTTCATTAAGTAATTGTCCCAACAAGGAAACTTCAAGGGCTCCTTTCTCCCTCATTGTTAGAGCTATCAGAATGAATTGAGGAAATACAGTATATCACAAAGGCTCACCCAATCAAAATGATTATTTTAAGTAAATTCAGCACATAAATGTTCATTCAGTTGTGTAAATTAGACTGGATCTACACTTCCCTGCATCACAGGATCTGATCCCAAATTATCTGCTTTATATGAGTCTCCATTGCATATAATCTGGGATAAACAGATAATCTGAGATCAGATCCTGGGATATAGGGCAGTGTAGAACGGCCCTTAGTCAATTTTTCAGTCTTTAAAAATGTATTATATAAAGTTTGTATAAAGCTCAATTGTAGGCAGTCACCTTAGATTAACATTTTCCTACAATCCCTTTAATAATATTTGCCCTATATTTAAGTAAACCAAGCAGTCTATACTTACATGGGCAGTAATTTGTTTTCTCTGCCTTTGTGGATCTGGAAATTCCTCTCCAAAACATAAAACAATCTGGTATCGAGGCAAAGGCTGCCTGTGGTGAGCATAGGCTTGCAGTTCTGGAAAGCCAACAAAAGATCATCAAGCTATCTTCAAATTATATACAGGTAGTCCCTGAGTTATAAACACCCGACTTACAAATGTTAATTAAGAATGGGGCTGAGACAACAGGAAATGAGAGAAATCTATTTATTGGAAGGGAAATTTACCCCTGAAATAGTTATCATGGGGTAAAGGGTTCTCCTCAGAAATTTTATCACCAATCACAACAAGCCATTTTTTTCATAATCCAATTATCATGGGGACAGAAAGTGAGATGAAATCTTCTGAATAGGGCTAGACAGCAAAATAAACACCGTAGGGATGTTAACCCTTCCCTATGCTATTTAAAGCATACATATCTATCTATCTATCTATCTATCTATCTATCTATCTATCTATCTATCTATCTATCTATCTATCTGGAATTACACTTAAAGAATGTACCTGTTCTGACACACAAATTCAACTTAAGAACAAACCTACAGAACCTATCTTGTTCATAACTTGGGTACTACCTGTGTATGTGATTTATATCCTGTCTTTTTCCTAGAACTGAATTCAATATTTAGCAAAGAGAATCAGCCTAAATTATTGAATTAATAATTTTGTGATGATAAGGATTGTTACAAAAATAAAATCTAGCAATCAGCTAAACTATGAACACAGACAAACTGACCCAAACAATAGCTTGGAGTCTTATTTATTTGTTCTATTTATGTAAGTCTTTCTATACTATAAAAGTTTATATACCTCATCAGATCAGATATTGCCATGGTGAACAATATATGCATTAGATTTATTCAAGAGCAGATGAGGGCTTTAAATTAAGAGTTCATTATCTGGAGCTAGTCATCTTAGAGAAGCTCCCAGTGGAGCAGTGTGTTAAACTGCTGAGCTGCTGAACTTGTTAACAAAAAGGTCGGCATTTTGAATCCAGGGAGCAGCGTGAGCTCCTGTTGTTAGCTCCAGCTTCTGCCAACCTAGCAGTCTGAAAACATGTAAATATGAGTAGATCAATAGGTCTTCTCTGGCGGGAAGGTAATTGTGTCCCATGCAGCCATGCTGGCCACATGACCTTGGAGGTGTCGATGGACAATGCCGGTTCTTAGAAATGAGTACCACCCCCTTAGAGATGAGTACCACCCCCAGAGTCGAACACGACTAGACTTAGGGGAAACCTTTACTAGCTATCTTAGATCACTGAAATCAACCCTGAAGTTGAAAAGTCTTAATAACAAAGTTGTCTTCAAAGCAAACAGTAATGTATAAAGCTATCTGATCATTATGTAGTCAAACAATACACATAATGCTAGAATAGGGAACTTGGGGAGCATCTGCACTGTAGAATGAATGCAGAATGGACATCAATGCTATGGGATCATAAGAGTTGTAGTTTTAACAATATCTTTGGTCTTGTCTGTCAAAGAATGCTGCTTCCTCGCCAAACTACATAAGCCTTGGATTCCATAGCATTAAGCTGTGGCAGTGAAAGTGGTGTTGAACTGCATTAATTCTACAATATAAATGTACCCTTGGACATACAAGAAATCAGAAACTAATGGGACATTTGAGAATGCAGGCAAAATAACCTGTTACTAAGGAAGCTGTGAAAGCACACAGTGTGAAAACAATATAGTGTATTTCAATTGGTTTTTTAATAGATGAGCTAATGATTGGTCCTCTGATTGTTTGGTATGGCCAACAGTTGGGATTGTGGAATTTAAGGTCTGGAGAACCCAAGGGTTGAGATGCCAATTCATCCTATTTCATGGCTGCATAGCATAATACAAATACATGAGTATACACCCAGCTCCCACTAACCTGACCCTACTGGAAAAATGAAAGCTTTAGCCACACATTTTATAAACTACAAAAATGAAATAAAAAATTACCTGATAAAAATTGCTGAGTATCAAAAAGTTTGCATGTTTGTTCCCTTTCCAGTTTGTTAGGTCTGTCATTGCTAAGCGCGAGAGGCCCATCCCAATAGATCCTGCTCTGACAGAGTCTCTTAGCATAAAGTCCATCAGGCGTCATCCAGAGTATGACTCCCCTTTCCAGGTGACTTAGCATTTTTTCAGTTGTTTTCCTTTGGCTATGATCTTCTGGATATGGGAACAAAACTTGGTCTAGGCCACTGACTTCATAGCTTTGGCCATGAGAAATCCGACAGCCCTCAGGACTTGAAGTTGTTACTTCTTTCACAAGAGTTTCATGGTAATACAGACAGATGTGCAGTCGGTAATCTGGAAAATGCATTTGTGCAAAATTAACAGGACATTTGACATCACATGATGGCACTTCATTTAACATCTACAAAACCTGAATCTCAGGCCCCTTCTACATTGCCATATAAAATTCAGATTATCTGCTTTGAACTGGATTATATGAGTCATATAATCKAGTTCAAAGCAGATAATGTGGATTATCTGCTTTGATAATCTGGATGATACGGCAGTGTGTTTGTTTGTGCATGCAAATACAACAAAATTAATGATATTTCACAATTAAATATTATCCTTCTGCCATAAGAGCAATATGGCACAATGTCTTCTACTGGATTATAATCTCCCTGATYGTGCTTATGTTGCTTTAAGGAGCCCCTGGTGGTGCAGTGGGCTAASCCACTGAACTGCTGAACTTGCTGATGAAAAGGTCGGTGGTTTGAATCCAATGAGCAGGTTGAGCTCCCACTGTTAGCCCCAGCTTCTGCCAACCTAACAGTTCGAAAACATGTAAATGTGAGTAGATCAATAGGTACCGCTCTGGTAGGTAGGTAGTGGTGCTCCATGCAGTCATGCCAGCCACATGACCTTGGAGGCGTCTACAGACAACGCCGGCTCTTCAGCTTAGAAATGGAGATGAGTACCACCCCCCAGAGTCGTACTCAACTAGTCTTAAAAATGTCAAGGGGAAGCCTTCACTTTTAAGGAACATACTTTGGATTAATTTATGAATGTGACAGCACTTGGCACAGACATGGCTTGTAATTTTAGACTGTGTCACAGTAGAGTAGTTGAACAACTGATAAATGCTACAGGAGCGGCCACTTGATCTGGGAATTATTAACCATAAATACTGCTTTAGTGGGAAAGTCCTAAAATCTTTGGAAGTTCTAAAACAAATCTAAATTCACAAGGAACCGGGACTTGCAACACGGCAAGAAGGTGGTATTTCAGATTTCCTGGTTCCAGGTTGTTTAGGGCATTTGTAGATCTTGAACTGAACTTGGAAGCAAACTGGAAGTCAGTGTGCTTCCTCAAGACAGGTGTTATATATGGTTTCTGAAATGCACAGAATCTGCAGCCTCACTCCCATCTGTAGGTGGTGGATTACGTGTCAGGAATATGGTGAATCCACTCTGGGATATATTCCACATTTTTAAGAAGCTGTTCAAGAGACCTTCCACACAACTGTATAACCCAGAATATCAAAACAGAAAATCTCACAATATCTGCTTTGAACTGGATTATCTACACTACCATATATTCCAGTTCAGTGGTTCTCAACCTGTGAATCCCCATGTGTTTTGACCTACAACTCCCAGAAATACCAGTCAGTTTACCAGCTGTTAGGATTTCTGGGAGTTGAAGGCCAAAACATCTGGAGACCCACAGGTTGAGAATCACTGTTCCAGTTCAATGCAAAAAATGTGAAATTTTATTCAACTGTGTGGAAAGCACCCAAGAGTGTTAAATCCTATCCCTCAAATAGGTTCAGCAACCTGAATAGCTTCTTTAAAACCTATAATAGCTTCATTATACCCCTGACAAGAAAGTTATCAGCCACAACTGCTCAGTTTCCTGAAGAATGTTGCATGTCCAGTTAGGAACTACACATCCTTCCTTTGCCAGAGCAACTTCTAATTGGAACCGGAGACTTCCACATCCTCTTAGTCCCAGCACTGCCACCAAGCCAAAAGAGTATCAACAAGGACAGCAACAAAACAAAATTAAAACACATGTTTGCATAAATGTTTGAATATGTCTGGACAGAATAATTAAATTTCTAAATTCCAGTTTAAAAGCCTGTTTGCAATAAAGCATAACATAGAGCTTCTATTATAAATACTTTCAATAGCTAACAGGAAGTGAGGTGTGAGGCTTAATATGTCTAGAATGAATAACAGGGCATTTGAAAAGATTCACTGAAAAATATCTTGTTGCAAATGATATTGGACACAGGATATCCACATGTGTTAGCTGTCCTTCTTGGCCTAAACACATATTGCCAAGGCAGATGATGCAGGTAAAGCAAGTAAACACTGGCCAGAAACCTGTTGGTCACACTTTTTGCAATGTTGTCCCATAAAAAAATGGAAAGCAGCTGGTTCCAAGCAGCCTATTTTTCCAGCGCTTCTCGTTTGTCACAACCCTTTTTTTCCTTCTTCTGGTCACTGCCTCCATTATCATAACAACATCAGTGTAGTAAACTACAATAAATGCAAAAGTGGCAAAGCAGCTGGCCTGGATGATCAACGGATGGAACAAATCAAGAACTTTGGTCCAAAAGCAAGGTGCTGGCTGCTGGAGCTGATGAACAACTGCACTGCATCCTGTCAGATCTCCAAAATCTGGAGGAAAGCAAGAATCATAGTCATCTTGAAACCAGGCAAAGACCGTAATGATCCAAAAGGTTATAGACCAATCTCCTTGTTATGCCACCTTTACAAAGTTCTGGAGAGACTTATTTTGCATAGAATTATGGAAAAAATAGACCCATGTCTGATTCCACAGCAAGCTGGCTTCAGGAAAGGCCAAAGCTGTGCATCACAAGTGCTGAACCTGACTGAGCATATAGAAGATGGCTTTGAAAGGCAGCAGATCACAGGAGCTGTCTTCATAGACCTGTCAGTGGCCTATGATACTGTAAACCACCGCCTCCTCCGGAGAAAAATGTATAATATCACAAAGGATTACCACCTCACCCACCTCATAGGAAACCTGCTACAAAACAGGAGCTTTTCTGTTGAGTTCCAGGGCCAGAGAAGCAGATGGCAGAAACAGAAGAACGGCCTGCCTCGGGAGCGTGCTTGCTCCATCAATGTTCAACATTTACACAAATGACCAGCCATTACCAGAAGGGACAGAGAGTTTCATCTATGCTGATGATAATGCCATCACCACTCAAGCAGGGAGCTTTAAGATGGTTGAACAGAAGCTCTCCGAATCTCTAGGTGCTCTTACTGCCTATTACAAAAAAAACCAGCTGATTCCTAACCCATCTAAAACACAGACATGTGCTTTTCATCTTAAGAACAGACAAGCATCCCGAGCTCTGAGGATTACCTGGGAAGGAATCCTATTGGAGCATTGCAGRGCACCCAAATAACTGGGAYTCACTCTGGACCGTTCTCTGACCTACAAGAAGCACTGCTTGAATATCAAGCAAAAAAGTGGGTGCTAGAAACAATATCATATGAAAGCTGACTGGCACAACCTGGGGATAACAACCAGATACAGTGAAGACAMCTGCCCTTGCGCTATTCTACTCTGCTGCTGAGAATGCACGCCCAGTGTGGAACACATCTCAACACACTAAAACAGTGGATGTGGCTCTTAATGAGACATGCCGCATTATCACAGGGTGTCTGCCCCCTACACCACTGGAGAAATTACACTGTCTAGCCYGATTGCACCACCTGACATCCGCCAGGGAGTAGCAACCAATAGTGAAAGGACCAAGACAGTGACATCTCCGGCCCACTCCCTGTTTGGGTATCAGCCAGCATGCCAATGACTTAAATCAAGAAATAGTTTTCTAAGGTCTACAGAGACATTCGCTGGAACACCCCAGCAAGCGAGAGTCCAAAAGTGGCAGGCTCAAACCAAGAACCTAAATCAATGGCTGGTACCAAATTAGAGACTCCCTCCTGGGCACAAAGAAAACTGGGCAACTTGGAAGGCGCTGAACAGACTGTGATCTGGCACCACAAGATGCAGAGCCAACCTTAAGAAATGGGGCCACAAAGTATAATCCACGACATGCGAGTGTGGAGAAGAGCAAACCACAGACCACTTACTGCAATGCAACCTGAGCCCTGCCACATGCACAATGGAGGACCTTCTTGCAGCAACACCAGAGGCACTCCAAGTGGCCAGATACTGGTCAAAGGACTTTTAATAGAATACCAAGTGTTTTGTTTGTTTGTTTGTTTGTTTGTTTTTAATGCAATACAACTCTTTTGGTTAGCTCCTGACAAAATAAATAAATAAAGTGTAGTAAACCAATTGGAGTACTGGTATAAATAGAAAAAAATTCCAAAAAAGCACAAATAGAGTTTTGTTGTTGTTGTGTGCCTTCAGTTTAACTTATGGTGAATTATGGCAACTCTATTATAAGCATTTTCTAGGCAAGGTATCTTCAGAGAGGCTTGCCATTGCTTTCCCCCAAGGCTAGAAAGATGGGATTTAGCCAAGATCACCCAATGGATTTCTAGGACTAAGTGAGGATTTGAACTTTTGGATCACAGAGTCTTAAGGCCCTTCCAGACAGGTCTGATATTCCAGAATTCGATCCCAGGTTTTCTGCTTTAAACAGGATTATATGAGTCTGCACTGCCAGATAATCTGGGATAAATAGAAAACCTGGGATCAAAACCTGGTATATAGGGCCTGTTTGGAAGGGCCCTTAGGCCCCTTCTACACTGCCATATAGTTCAGATTATCAAAGCAGATAATCCACATTATCTGCTTTGAACTGGATTATAATAGTCTACACTGCCATGCCATATAATCCAGTTCAAAGCAGATAATCTGGATTTTATATGGCAGTGTAGAAGGGGTTAGAGTTCAACACCCAAACTACCTCAAAACTTTACCATTGATTTGCTAATGTGTTCACTACCGAGTTGAGCTTATGCACTTGTGTATATTATATACTTTCACTTAGAAGTCATGCATATTAACTGGGTGATGTGCAAAATTCCCCATTCATGATGTCAGTTTATGCATATGCTTTATGACTCATATAAATGCTGATACTCAAAGATTATGTACATTGTCCATTACAGTTCCATTTCTTAAACCAAACCACATATATGGGGAAAACAATCCTGACAGAGTTTCAAAGCTAGCTTCTCATTTAAGATCACGGAGGTTGGAGGCTTAACTGGAAAGTTGTGAAATAATTCCTCCAAACCAAATATTGAATGGTTTACACACCTGACAATGGAAGAGCTTCACCAGACCTTATGCTTGGCTCTATTGGGATCCCAGGAGCCTGAGACTCGGGTGGTGCACAAGCATAAAAGGTTCCAGTCACTTGATATCCTGTTTTTAACAAACAAAACTATTATTTTCACAGCAATCCCAAATAGCTAGAAAGCCCCTTTCTCCTTCACTTTATAAACCACTTCACCAACATGATAAACCTGCTGTCCCATTTGACAGCAATACCTTTTAAGTATGTATTTTAAATATTTCTGTACTGCTTTTACTTTAAAGATAGAGTTACCAAACTAATTTATCAAAACCTTGGCATCTTGCATGAATCATCTGCTAGAAACCATAATAGTTTTGCCTAGATTGAGAGCATCAAATGCTGAGCACACTGAAAAGGGAAATGCACAGTAACTAAAAATCTTACTCAAATTCTGCAATTTCTGTCATTAATATCAAGGATCCCCATTCAGGGTTTACTGCCTAATTAATGTGTTTTGTATTCCCACATAGCAAAATACCCCTACAAATCTTTATTCAGAAATATGTTGTGTTTTATGAAGCCTTTCTCTTTAAAGCAGTGGTTCTCAACCTGTGGTTCCCAGATGTTTTGGCCTTCAACTCCCAGAAATCATAACAGCTGGTAAACTGGCTGGGATTTCTGGGAGTTGTAGGCCAAAACACCTGGGGACCCACAGATTGAGAACCACTGCTCTAAAGTAAGCGTACAAAGGATTGCATCTTGAAGTTGAATGAACATAAAACAGGAACTTGAACAAATGTGTGATTTTCTGGTATTCAGTGAGACCTGGAAGTTCTCCATTCAATAAAATAACAAATCTTCTCTGAGTTACAAGTCAAGCTTTAAAGAAACTATTCAAGGTGCTGAGCCTATTGGGATTCAGGACCATGGATAGTTCCTTTAAAACTTGGAATAAAACCTTGAATTCACTGCACCACTGATGTATTTGTCAGGCAAATTTTTAAACCAGATTCCAACCACGGATTGAAAACCCAGTGAGACTCCTTCTTAAAAATTTGGTATATTGTCATCTTTTCTTAAGATATCAGATATCAATTTGAAGCCTCTAGAGCAGAAATAATATTGACCCCATGTCAAATGTATTTGTGGACTTTGTACAGCAGTGGTTCCCAATCTTATATATATATATATATCAGGGACCACTTGATCAAGGACCACTTTGATCAGGGACCATTTTGATCAGGGACCATTTTGACCATGGATCACTTAACCAGAGACCACTGGAACAGGGAACACTCTCCAACATTAGTACCAAAAGAATTGCAAATCTGTTTTTGGTCAGCTGTAGACTTGGTTTAGTTATCTGGGCTGGTGATTCAGAAAATTGCCTTGGATAGACCACATCAGTTCTAGTTTCTGATACAGAACATATGCCATCCAGTAGTCACCATCTCCTTGCCTACAGAAAACCATATTTAATAATCTACCCGATGTGGTAGTAGTAATCTTTTGTGGATAGTCAGCCTCTCCCCTCCCGACATGCCTGTTGCCTCGGCACTGTAAGAAGGTTTTGCAGGACCAGTCACTCTTGTTGCTTGATTTCAAGGCAAAAGTGTAGTAATGGTGAGACTGTGGACCATATTTTCATTCTTGAAGCACTGGTGGTCCACGGACCACAGGTTGGGAACCACTGCTGCACAGGATGTGAGAGCTACATGAGCATCCTAAGTATGAAATATTTAGCTATGACAAATATTTATGCATACCCTTAAAGAGCATGCTATGCTTTCAAAGAAATTGAACCATTACAGCAAAAGCCTTCAATTAGTTTGAGCTTTACTCCCAGGTAAATGTATATAGGGATGCTGTTTAAAATGTATAATTCTAAGGGCACCCAAGTTCTGAATTTTCAATTTCCAATGTTTTCACTAAAGAAATTAAGCATTGGCTTAACTCTCACCCACTAAGTGTATGGGATTCAGAAGTGCATCATTTTAGGTGGGTCATGTTTATATATTTGCTTAAATGCAATATATTCAGCTGAAAGCAGTTGAGTTTATTCACACATAAGCACATGTGAGATAAAAGTCAACTGATTTAATAAAGCAGTATCTTTTTTATCCCTACAATTATTCCAATTTTTGAAGTTTATAAAAGGTAACAAAATAGTGTTCTGGATACACTAGATAGATAATGTTTTTAATCAGGAGACACAAATGTCTTATATTTTCATTACTTTTGTTTGGTTTTATACTATGTATTAGCTGTCCCCTGCCACTCGTTGCTGTGGCCCAATCTGTGTATATGTGTTTTGTATGTGTATGTATGTGTCTATGTGTATATATGTGGTTTTGCGCATGCATTGTAATGTATTTTTTTATTTTTTGACTTTTAAGTCTCTTCTTCTGTGTTTTTCAGTGTTTTTATGAGTGATGATCACTCATTGGCCTGATAAGTGTATTGTGTCCAAATTTGGTGTCAAATAATCCAGTGGTTTTTGAGTTATGCTAATCCCACAAACGAACATTACATTTTTATTTATATAGATTAATGTTTTAAATGTTTAATGATGTTCTTGGTCATCGAATAATTGTCTCTGTAAACCGCCCTGAGTCGCCTGAGGGCTGAGAAGGGCGGTATACAAATATAGTAATAAATAAGTACACAAAAGCTCTGCATTCATCATCAGAAGCTAGTCTGTTCTCTCACCCATTATTTTGGATATTCATAATAAAAGTGCTCTAAACCTTTACTGTTCTTTTTTCAAGTGCTTTATATATTTGTTTGATCAACACGAGTTTATAGAACATAATCAAGATAAAAACTTCTAGATTTATTAGATTTCAGTGAGAACAAGCACTGTTCCTTCTTACATTATAAGATCTTTGCAGAAGTGGGAGTTCTGAGAGCAGAGTAAACAGTTCATACGTAGGGCTTTCCTACTTGCCAAAGTTTGCCCTATTTCCTTTAACAAAGGTTCATGAGGTCAAAGGGATCTATATGCAGAGCTCTGTCTTTTGCTAAAATGAATGAGGAAATTCTTTACCCATAAATACAAGCATATACAGCATTGGATAAAGAGCCACCCGTGATCCCTCGCGCAATGGTTTGATGATGCTGGGCTTACCATTCTGACATGGTGGACCTTGCCAGTGATGATTACGAGCTGCAAAAGGCACAGTTGCACACTGGTATGGGATCTCAGGGTGTGATTGCTCTGGAACATAGTCTCTCCAGTTACGCTCATGGGTCATCATATAGCTTGGCATCTGTACATTTTATCAAAGCATTGTGTAATATTTTAGTTCATTACAGACAGTAAATTTCTTTGCAGTTTTTCCTTTCCAAGTAGGTGTCATTCTCAGGCTTTCCAAACACAAAGATCTCAAATTGTGCTAAAGCTTCAACTTGGGGAAAGTTTTTATGCAGAGACTGGATGGCCATCTGTCTGGAGTGTTTTGATTCTACAAAAACCTGCCCCAAAGGGTGTCCCAAATGATAAGGAAAGCAGAGGTAAATACCACTCCCACATCTTCTGTTCCACTAACAGAGGTCCAACATTTGGTTTATTATTAAAGTACATGCTCTGCCCTAAACTTTTTGAAGACATGTAGCCATGGTAGCACAGCAGGTTAAACCGCTAGCTGCAGAAAGCTGCTGACCAGAAGGTTGGCAGTTCAAGTCAGGGTGAGCTCCTGACCATCAGTCCTAGCTCCTGCCAACCTAGCAGTTTGAAAGCATGCAATGAATAGATCAATAGGTCCGCCTCGGCGGGAAGGGAAAAAGGGCGGCCCATGCATATATGCAGATATGCCGGCAATACAATCAGAGATGTCCATGGACAACAGGCTCCTTAACATGGAAAAATGGAACAAGGGCACCTTCCCATGGCCAGAGCTGAGCATCACCTCCAGATGCAGGAGATGGAAAAAGGAGAAGGCCTTTAGCCATCCCCCTCCAGTGGAAGCTGTGTATATGCAACAAATAAAATTCTACCACTTTGATACTACTTTTTAAACAAAATGCAAGAATCTGATTACAAGATTTTCTATAAAGAATGCATAGTACTGGGCGATAATTTGCTGAAGTCAGGATATAAAAACAGTATCGGCACAGATGCTTCCTACAAAATTTCTGGTCACAGGAGCAGAACTCTCTTGGGAACATTTCTTAATTTGTTCTTGACATTCTTTGCTATTACCTTTAAATCTTAGTCTGGATTAAGGCAAGAAAAAACTATAAATTTCCAACCTTTGACACATAAAAGGAAAACAAATGAATAATCTGTACCTGAGGCTGTAGTGCAGAGTATGAAGAATTCAGGGTATAGGCATTATTCATAATCATCTGTGGATCTTCCATGTTAAGCTGTTTTGTGCCTGTACAAATATACACACGGGTTAATTTAAATTAAAGCATCATGAGTAGCATGTGTATAAAATGGCATCCTTAATTGTTAATTCCTACATGTAATAAAACGTTACACTTTGTTTCGCAATCATGAAGTTCACCTGCATATTTTACAGACAGAGAGAAAACTTGGTTTGAAAAATATCTGAACAAAACTAGGTATAAAATAATATCTAAATCACACTATATGGGTTATAAAATAATTTAATTTCTAAATATAGGGTAAATATTTAATGTGTCATCCTAACATTGTATAAATGGAAGATAAATGTGTATGTGTATGTGCTGTTGTTATGGGGAAGAATATTTTTATCCTCTATTCTTCTTTGTATTGCTCTAACAAATTTAAAGTTTTTGTTTGTTAATTTCATCTACATTTGGTATTATTCCATCTACATTTGGTATTATTTGTTGTTGTTCCGCACATGGATCTAGAAAGAGAGGTGGGTACAAAATGAACATTAACATTCAGCTAGGCTTACCTTTTTTTGCTCCTTCTGGTACTATTCTGTACACTTTATATGGATCTGATATATCCAGCTGGCTTCTTTCAACCAGTTCCTCAAAGTCATTGCTCTTATTCAAAGCACAGCGTAACCGTGTTTTCCAAGTCGGAGGATCTGGTTTATCGAAGCCTTCTCTGAACTTTCCTTTGAACAGAGCCCATGCCTGAAAACATTGGCAGAGGTTAACCAAAGACAAAACAAAAACTTTAAATATAAGCAGATTTTGGAAAGTATCCACAGCACTGCAGTAAATTGTATAATAATAAGTATATTCATGATAGATAGCTATTTCTGCTGAAATGTCACTGGATATTCTACTACCACAACAGGGTCTGTACTTTCCTAGTGACAGTTCACTGTCACTGTGGGTAGATCCTGCTGGATTTCAAGATTTAGATTTGGGAGTGGTCTTATCAAGGCTTGAGGTCCTGAAGAAGGATAGACCCACTCCTCCTTCAGATCATTCAAAGACAATGTCAGAAATATCACAGGGGACCAGGAGAATGAAGTGACCCTGCATCACAGAAGAGATGCTCAAGTGGCTTTCTGCTTTAGAAATGTTACCAATAGGGGACCTAGTACTATTGATTATATGGCAGTTTCTGCCAACCTGCTACCTGATATCCAAAGATTTGCTTTAGAGTAGAGGTGACACAACTCAAAACAGATACAAGAGAATTAGATAGCTCAGAACAAAAAGAAAGAGAGATGTCCAATGAGGATGCGTGCATGCAGATAGTTTCAGGGCAATCTGAAGGACATGCACCTGTTGGTGGTGAACAAGTGACTACAAGTGAGCAAAACTACACCCACATGAAAGGTTGCTGGAGCTGGGAGTTTGCCATGGGCCCATGGAGTCAACCCAGTAGTCCTCCTATTGCTGGATGGCCTTATTTTGCACCACTAAGCATAGATTCCAGACAGAAATGATGGGACAGTCAAGTCCCAATGGCATTACCTGCCCCATGTAGTGGATTAGCCAATTGGCGCCTCACACAGTCCTGGGGTATGGCCATATCCAGTACTGTATGGGTATCAGCTACTCCTGCTAGGGAATCATAAGAAATATATGTGGAGAAGAGAATACATTGATGACATCAGATCACGTTTTAGAAGAGACCACCCTGAGTCCCCGCAGGGAGAGAAGGGGGTCTATAAATTGTTGTTGTTGAAAGTAGACAAGGAATTTTAGAAGGCAGAATGATTGCCCCATTTTAGGGTATTGTTCTCAAGAAGGCAACAGGTGAGGTGATATTGCCTCATACATCATCTCTTATTCTTCAAGGGCAATTTAGTAAATGACCACATCATTAGACATCATTCAATTACACAATTAAGGATGGCGCATTGGTGTGCGGTGGGAGGCATACTCAGGAAGTGTGACATGAAATTCACCTTCCGCCCAGCTTGGAGGCAGATTCTGAATGGCTGTGTTCTGCCTATGGGATGCTCAGTATCATGGTCAGCCTTTAAGAATTCCAGCTCATTGCCTAAGTAGGCCCTCAGACAAACTTCTGGGTTAGAGTCTACAACTTATTTTTAAGATTACATTATTCTGGTATGCTCCATAGACAATAGGCAGAGTCAATTTCATAAGGATATTTTTGCACACCTCACGCAGGACTTATGGGTTCCCTCAGCAGAGGAGAACACAGAAGGAACAACCCCCACTTTAGTCTTCTTGGATATTTAAACTGACATGCTAGGCCCGTTTTGTAATCTTCCTGGGGAAAAACTGGTGAAGCTAAAATCTAGGGTGAAATCTGGGGCACAGGGAGCTCCAAGAGTTCATAAAGTACTTGAACTTTGTATGTGGAGTCGCTGTAGCAGGGAGAGCCTTCCTTCATTATCTATGTGAAGCCTGGAGGCACTACAGCACAGGCAGAAAGTCATTGTTGAGATGAAGGAGGATCTATGGGTCTGGAAACAGTTCCTGGCACATTATAGTAGGGTTTTCTTCTGGAGAGGAGATAGGAAACAGGGAATGTAATTCCAGGTTCAGTTGGATGCTGCTGGGGTTATAGGCTTTTGAGTGTATTTTGGTGGTCACTGATATGCTATGATATGGCTTGAAGTGTGAAGATGGAAACATTACATTCTTGAAAGGTTTTTCTCAATACTGGACAGGGTTTGGTTGTTTTGGTGTAACAACCAATCCACTGTCTACTAAATCATCAATTCACTGTAATCCAAGTCACTCAGAGTTATGCAATTGGTGCAAGCATTTAATGTTCTGTCTGATGTGTGTGCAGGATAGATAATGGGATCACTGGTGCTTTGTCACAGCAGCAGGTGTCCCAATTTAGGCAGTTTGCACCTTGCAAGAGGGAAAAGAAGATAAAGGTCCTTCCAGTCCTGTAGAACACTAGTAAGCTGCTGCCAAGAGGGCCATGGGTATGGCACTAGCTCCTAGTACCAAATGGGGTAGGCAGAAACCTGTTATGTCATGAGGATAATATGTAATTGACAAAATTTGGGCAGTAACTTGCAAGGGCCTTACTCGTGTAGGATTGGTGCTACTTCTATGGCAATCTGTGTGGGCATCCTAAACATAAAGAAAATTGATAGGTGACAATCACAGTATTTTAGAAAGTATGTTTGCCTCTGCCCAGACTAGTTAATATGCTCATAGTAATATACTTAGGGCCTCTGGGGGGTGTCTTCTTCAGCCTGCCAGAACCTAATTAGCAACCATAACTCAGAGGACCTTTTCATGGGCCTCCCCAAGACTGTGGAGTGACCTGCCAGAAGAGATTTGACAGCTAGATCAGCTGTTGGAACTTAAGACACAATTCCGGCAGGTATATCTGGTCAATTTTAAATTGTGATTTTTAATCTGCATTTTATTAGTGGGTTTTAACTTGTATTTTAACTCCATGTGTCTTTCAATAGTGTTTATATTGTATCCCGAGCCCCCGGTGGTGCAGTGGGTTAAACCACTGAGATGCTGAGCTTGCTGACCAAAAGGTTGGTGGTTCAAATCTGGGAGCAGGGTGAGTTCTCGCAGTTAGCCCCAGCTTCCGCCAACCTAGCAGTTCAAAAACATGCAAATATAAGCAGATCAATAGGTACCGCTTCAGTGGGAAGGTAACGGCGCTCCATGCAGTCATGCCAGCCAGATGACCTTGGAGGCGTCTATGGACAATGCTGGCTCTTTGGCTTAGAAACGGAGATTAGCACCACTCCCCAGAGTTGGACACGACTAGACTTAATGTCAAGGTGACCCCTTTACCTTTACCTTATGTTATATCCCACCTCAAGCCACATTATTACATAATACAACAATCTCTGTTTCATGTTTCAGATGTTTCATGGAGATGTTTGATGTCTGGATCAGCATATCTGGCCATAGCCATAAATATTGGGCAGCCATTCAGGCCTGAAATGCTGCAGTCTGTCCCCCAGATGGAGAAACACAGTACCCAGTATATCCATTATACACTACATGGGCAATGGCCTTGGTTTGGTGAAAGGGAAGTGAGGGCATGGCAGAGTTAAAGCAGAGACAGCCTTGGATGGTCTTGGGATGGTCAGCTCTCCTTTCTATAAGGACTTGAATGGGACTCCAGGGGTTTGGATAGGGCCAGTAAAATTAATCATAACATTAGGAGCTTGAAGAAATTTTTGTCACATCCGGAGATGAAGTATGATCAGCTAGAGTCATATCAATGTGATAGGACACAACTGTTTGATGTAAGCAGTGACATATTAATTAGGGACTTGCATTGCGGGCTTATAAGGCCAAGGGGCAAAGGTAAACTTTGACTCTGGGGATGACAGAATAATGCAGAAAAGAGGGGTTTAGGATGTGAACATTAATGTATGTTCCTGGTTGTTGGGGTGATTCACTGTGTGTGAAGTAATCAACTTTGGGACCAAGACAAGTTACCCCTCTCCAGAATTCCAAAGTTGTGGGGCTTAGGAGAGGGGTCATTCCATGCCAAGTGGTCTAAACCTTCCCACCATCATGTTTTCCAACTTTCTTCAAAATTTAGCTGTAGGACTAGTCGGGTGTTAAACTAAGTTTCCCAAAATTCGAGGTCTCTAACTGCAATAGCTGCTGATCTATACCTCCTTATCTGAAGGGTAGTTAGTCAGAAAATACCATGTTGGGGGTATAATACCATTGAAACTAAATGTATAAGAATGGCTAGTAAATTGAAATTGTGTACAGTTTTTTCTGATGATTTCGATGAAATTAATTTTATCATTATGGATGCAAAATCCGGTCAAACAAATTGACTCAAAGTGTGCATCAGAATGTCAGGATAAATTTTGAACAATATTCAGACTGCAACAATTTCCATACAAACAAAGATACAGACTTGAAATTTTGACCAAGCATTATGTTTGTGCTGGACACAATACTGCCAAATTTGCAACTACCCAGCATCTATAAACATCCTGTAGGATCTCTTCAAATTTGGCACTTTCAGCGCAAATGGTAAAATCTACCAAAGTTCAAAGCCAATTATTTAAAAAGCGCCTACCTGAATATGCTTGTGAATAGTATCATCCGAAAGAGAAAATTTTGCGGTACAAGACTGATACGTTTTTGTTTTGCAATGTGACCATTAAGTATAAATTTACTGAGGTCAAAGTATGTTATATTTCACATTGAAACCAGCATCCCCATCACTATAGGGGCCACACCTGATAGCCATGCAGTAACTAGCAGGACCATGAGGATAAAACATAATGCATGAATGCACAAAATACAACATACTATGCTTAGGTACTAATTCATATCCACCCTTGCCTGGCTGATTTCTACACTTAGTAGACTCCACAACAGCTTTCGGGATAGGAGAGAGTATTAATAGCTGTGGCCCCAACTTTTCCCATCACTGTTGTTCATCTCTTTATTTTCAGACGGGTGTGCAATTTGCTTAATTCTAACAGAAACTGAACCGTGTTGCCACAGGCAATGCTTCTTCTTAACAGCACATAAAGGAGCTATGATACTTGCAAAAGCTAATGATGATGAAGTCTGCCATCTCGCTCAAAATTAAACACAAGCACCACTGATATCTATGAGATATAAGCAAGGGTGGAACTGGGAGCTGAACTGCAGCCCTAATGAATCAAGCCCTGGGGCAGTTAATCAAATGAGGAAAAGGAAATTATTCAACACAGAAGAAATCTTCCAAGTGTAACGGGAAAGCAACTTGGGTGGCATTTTAATTTAGGATGCCAGTTGTGTAGATGAGGCAGGATTGTTTCACCAGTAATTTAAGTCATCCTTCAGTTAAAGTACTTGGTAAGAGGTGCCCAGAGTTTTTTTAATAGTCCTTTTCAATCCTATTCTCCAAAAAGTCACACTGATTGTATGCTTAATTGGGGGTTTTTTGTGCTCAAAACTACCTCTTAACTTCTGAAGCTCTTCAATATTTTCCCACCAACTAATTAACCATTAAGCCCATTTTTAATATATGTGTTGTTGAATGCTTTAATAGCTAGAATCACTGGGTTGCTGTGAGTTTTCCAGGTTGTATGGCCATGCTCAGAGGTAGGAGCCCCTGGTGGCACAGTGAGTTAAACCCTTGTGCCGGTAAGCCTGAAGACTGACAGTATTTCATGGGAGAACTGTGTGCCAAGTTTGGTTCAATTCCATCGTTGGTGGGGTTCAGAATGCTCTTTGTAGGTGAACTATAAATCCCAGCAACTACAACTCCCAAATGACAAAATCAATTTTTTTTTAGTGAAGGACATACATTGGGTTGTTAGGTGTTTTGTGTCCAAATTTGGTGTCAATTCCCCCAGTGGTTTTTGAGTTCTGTTAATCCCACAAACGAACATTACATTTTTATTTATATAGATATACAGATAAAAGATAGGTAGAAGAAGATACCACATGGCCATACAGCCCTGAAAACTCACAACAACCCAGTCATTCCGGCCATGAAAGCCTTCGAGATGGGTGCTGTTATTTCCACAGCTAAAGATGGGCACGACCGGATGCAGGTCTCCTTCCTCCCCAGAACCCTCCCGCACTTATTCAAACTTCTGCAAAGAAGTGCAGACTGGGTCGCTTCTCCCCTTCTGATCTCTCCCCCCCCCCCCCCCCAGCCCAGGTGCTTTGAGGCGACCCAATACCTTGAAGAGCGCGGCGTCCTCCTCGCGGTTGTAGTCCTGCTTGCCGGCATGCTTCCAGGGGATGCGGAAGATGCTCTTCTCGTCGTTCTCCCACACCAGGCCCGGGTACTTGCTGCTGTCGATCTGCTCGATCAGCCACTGGCGGAGTTTCCCGTTGCCGCAGCTCACTGAGCTCATGCCGCTGGCGCTTGCTCTCCGCTGCTGCTGCTGCGAGTGCTGCAAGTGCTGCTGCTGCTGCCTCTGGGCTTGGCGAGAGTGGAAGCGAGGCGAGTGCTGCTCCTTCCGCCCTCCAAGTTCATGCCACTCGCCCCGCGGCTGCCCACGCTTCCTGCTCCTCGGGCGCCGCTTCGGCTCCAGCTGCCTCTGGGAGGGGGAGGGAAAAGGGCCCCGTGAATCCCCCCCGCAAGCGCGTGGAGGGGAAGAAGGCGCACGGCACCACCTCCCTCCTTAATGCCCCCCCCACCTGGTTTCTCCCTTCCTGGGACAGAATCAGCAGGTGGGGAAGGGGGAGAGCTTCCCTGTATGTCCAAAGTCAGCTCTCCCCTTCCTTCCTTCCRTCCRTCCRTCCCTCCCTCCCWCCCWCCCTCCCTCCTTCTTTCCTTCTTTCTTTCTTCCATCCTTCCTTCCTACCCTCCCTCTTGTCCACTCCCACCTGACCCAGCTCTTCCCAAACTGCGAAGAAAAGAAACGGCTGGGTTGTAGGMTTTTCGGGCTGTATGATCATYTTCTAGAAGCATTCTCTCCTGACGTTTCACCTCCATCTATGGCAGGCATCCTCTCAATCTCTGAGGATGCTTGCCATAGATGCAAGCGAAACGTCAGGAGAGAATGCTTCTAGAACATGACCATACAGCCCGAAAAACCTACAACCCAGACCTCGTAACCTCTGAGGATGCCTGCCATAGATACAGGCGAAACGTCAGGAGAGAATGCTTCTAGAACATGACCATATTACAGCCCGAAAAGCCTACAACCCAGACCTCACAARCTCTGAGGGTGCCTGCCATAGATGCAGGCGAAACGTCAGGAGAGAATGCTTCTGGAACAGGGCCATACAGCCCGGAAAACTCACAGCAACCCAGTTATTCCGGCCATGAAAGCCTTCGACAATGCAGGAAAAGCATAATCAAAGTATCCCAAGATACAATCAAGGCAGCTAATCATCTCCCAACAAAGGATTCCCCCAGTCAGAAGGATGCCTGACCTTGATACTGCAAGGACATTCAATGCCAATTGCAACATTCACACCTACCTCCAACAGACAAGAGTTTTTTCTCCCAACCTGGACCTTCCACAGATATAAAAACCACATTTTCCCAGTTTCTAACAGACCTCTGAGGATGCCTGCCATAGATGCAGGTGAAACGTCAGGAGAAAATGCTTCTGGAACATGGCCATTCAGCCCGGAAAACTCACAACCCAAAGTATCCCTTGTTACACCCTCCAGCCTTTCTCCTCCCAGAAGGCACTCTAAGTTTTCCCACTTTCCCGAAAGTTTGGAGTCCTAAAGGAAGGTGAACTTTATGTCTCTCTCCGGAAGACTTTGCCCATCTCTCTCTCTTCTTCCTTCTAACATCTAACACAGCCATAGAATGCAGTTTTAGATTACACACTGACTGCATTACTTGAGTCTTAACTCTGCCATGAAATCCAGGGCCCTTCCACACAGCCTTATATCCCAGAATATCAAGGCAGAAAATCCCCCAATATCTGCTTTGAACTGGATTATCTGAGTCCACACTCAGATCATGTGGGATTTTCTGTCTTGATATTCTGGGATATTGGGCTGTCTAGAAGGATCCCCAGTTCATTGCAATCAATCTGTTTCTCGAAACTGCACTATCCAGCAATGACGGGCAACCAACGTCCTTGCAGACGGCCAATTCCCTCACAGCATATGCGACTTGCAGTTTCTCAAGTCGCTTCTGACACACACACACACACACACGCACACACACACACACAAACTATTCAGCAGTGTAGTCTCCTTCTCCTGGGTCTCCTCTGTGACTGGATGTACACTGCTTTATGTCCCAGGATTCCAGACTATCTGGCAGTGTAGACTCAATGCCCTTCAAGACTGGCCCCAATATGCCAAGATCTGATGCCAGGTTTTCTGTTTATCCCAGATTATCTGGCAGCGGGGACTCATATATAAAGCAGAAAACCTGGGATGAATTCTGGGATAAAGTGTCTGTCTGGAAGGACCCTCTTCCACAAAGTCATATAACCCAGGATATCAAGACAGGCAATTTACAATACCTGCTTTGAACTGGATTATCTGAGTCAACACTGCCATATAATCCAGTTCAATGTGGATTTTATACAACTGTGTGGAAGAGGGCTCATATAATCAGGGGCTCTTCCAGACAGACCCCCGTATCCCAAGATCTGATCTCAGGTTTTCTGTTTATACTGGATTATCTGGCGGTGTGGACCCATCTAATCCGGTTTAAAGCAGAAAATCTGGGATCAAATCGTGGGATATAGTGCCTGTCTGGGGCCCCTTCCACACAGTCATATGACCTAAGGCCCTTCCACATAGCTCTATATCCCAGAATATCAAGGCAGAAAATCCCACATTATCTGAGTGTGGACTCAGATAACCCAGTTCAAAGCAGATATTGTGGGATTTCCTGCCTTGATATTCTGGGCTGTGTGGAAGGGCCCCCAGAATATAAAGGCGGAAAATCCCACAATATCTGAGTATGGACTCAGGGCCCTTCCAGACTGGCCCAATATGCCAAGATCTGATCCCAGGTGTTCTGTTTATCCCAGATCATCTGGCAGTGGGGACTCATATAATCTGGTTTAAAGCAGAAAATCTGGGATCAAATCCTGGGATAAAGGGCCTGTCTGGAAGATCCTCTTCCACACAGCCATATAACCCAGAATACCAAGACAGGCAATCTACAATACCTGCTTTGAACTGGATTATCTGAGTCCACACTGCAATATGATCCAGTTCAATGTGGATTTTATACAGCTGTGTGGAAGGAGCCTCTTATAATCAAGGAACCCTCCAGACAGACCCCATATCTCAGGATCTGATCCCAGTCTGGCAGTAATTTTGCCCTGTTTGGGTAACTTTGGCGCCAATTTCACTGCTATGGAATCCTGAGCTGTGCAGAATTTGTCAAAGGACTCATATCATCCGGTTTGAAGCAAACAACCTGGGATCAGACCCTGGGATATAGGGCCTGTGTGGAAGGGCGCTTGAACCCTTCCAGACAGCCCTATATCCCGGAATATCAAGGCAGAAAGTTCCACAATAGCAGCTTTGGACTGGGTTATCTGAATCCACACTCTGATAATGTGGGATTTTCTGCCTTGATATTCTGGGATATAGGGCTGTCTGGAAGGGCACTTAGTTCAAAGCAGATTATCTGGGATAAGATTCTGGGATGGATGGATGGATAGAGGAAAGCGTGTACCCAGCTTGGGTGCTGCCCTGTGGATGAATAAAGTGCGACTTCCTTTCAGTGGAATGCCTCAGTGCTGTGGAAACATGGGAGCCGTCTTTGGGCAGAGAGAGAAGGCTCCAAACCGACAGCTCCCAGGTTTCCTCAGCCTTGAGCCAAAGCAGTGAAAGCGAAGCCGGCCTGCACTCATTGACTCTGTCCTAGTAGAGCGATGCAGCCTCTGTCTCCTCTCCTCTGAGACATAACACGACGCCCGGCTTCTCTTTCTTTTCTCTCCTCTCTCTGCGGGGAAACTCCTCACATTCAGCCGCCAACGCTTCCCGGGGCTTGCCATTACCGTCATACCCTCACAGCCTCCCTTCACACGAGAGAAAGAGTGGGGTGCGGGTTTGGACTCAGTGACCCATTTTGGAAGACCCACGAGCGGGCTGGGGAGTCTCCTCAGGGGCAACTTCAAACCCTGAGGGAAAGTTGCCCTGTTTGGGTCATTTTGGCGCCAATTCCACTGCTATGGAATCCTGAGCTGTGCAGAATTTGTCAAAGGACAGCTCCTGTGATGCCATAGCAGTGAAAGTGGTGTCAAACCGAATGCATTGCCTAGTGTAGATACACCTTGGTGAATGGACTTTAGGATAAACTCGCCACAAACTCCAAGCCGACTTGAAACACGAACAACAACATTGCTGAGATATTAAGCCTAGAGCAGGCATGGGCAAACTTGGGCCCTCCAGGTGTTTTGGACTTCAACTCCCACAATTCCTAACAGCCTACCGGCTGTTAGGAATTGTGGGAGTTGCAGTCCAAAACACCTGGAGGGCTCAAGTTTGCCCATGCCTGCACTAGTGTCTTCACTGGATCTACATTGCCCAATACTGCCACTTCAGGATGCAGTTTACCTGCGCTGAACCGGATTATATGAGTCCACACTGCCCTATAATCCAGTTCAATTGCATCCTGAAACGGTCATGATGGGACAGTGTAGATCCAGTCCAAGATTGAACCTTAACTCTGCAATTAAGACGGGAGAGAGTCATTGAATCCCATGAGACTCAATAAACTCAGTTTCTTAAATAGTCAGTCAATACACCTGCAGGCATTTATATAGCAACACGCGCGAAAGAGGGGTGTGTGTGGATTTCCAAACAAAGCCAAGCCCTTCCAGAGGATCACGGACGACTTTGAACATCTCTCCCAGGCTTTTAGATCGGAAAAAAGCCTTGTTTACACAGCCAAATACCGTAAATTATTGCAATCTAAGTGCTGTGTGAGGCACCCCAAGGACTCTTGGAGCAAAAGGAAGAGATCACTGGAAAAAGAGACCCACACGTGATGGCTTCTACATGCCTTTTGATTCAATGGACCAGGGAAAGTTATGCATTACTGAAAAGGCGGGCGTTGGACGAATATTGCGAATAGGAGTGGGCAGAAATTGGAAAGTCAAATTCTGCCTTTCCCCCATTAGAACCATGTGGATCTCCACTCATTTAAAGACAGGAAGCATGTGGATCCTATCAGGCTCTTTCTAAACTGCCATATAATCCACATGATTTTCTTCGAACCGGATTATATGAGGCTACACTGCCATATAGTTCACTTTATCTGCTTTGAACTACATTATATGAGTCTACACTGACACACAATCCACAGGATCTGCTTTAAACCAGATTATATGAGTCTACATTGTCATATAAACCTAATAATCTGCTTTGTAAAGGATTATATGAGTCTATACTTTCATATAATCCACATGATCTGCTTTGAACCTGATTATATGAGTCTATACTGCCATATAGTCCACACTATCTGCTTTGAACCAGATAACACGAGTCTACGCTGTCATATAAACTACATGATCTGCTTTGCACCGGATTATATAAGTCTAAACTGTCATATAAACCAAATGATCTGCTTTGGAAAGGATTATAGGAGTCTACATTGACA